ACAGCCAAATTGTTTTTCAAGGTGGCCATTAATATTTTCAGGTATTACCACCTTAAGGTTACTGTACTCTATTTCCTCCAAAGGGCTGCTAGCTCCTCAGCCGCCTGTAGCCGTCCCACAAAGGCCAGGGACACTGGATTCTGTTACCTGTCCCCTCTGGCTCCTCCTGTCCTCTCCTCCCCGCAGCCCTGGCCTTCGGCTCACCGGAGCCCCTCTTGCAGGTGTTTGGTGACATGGAGCAGGTGCGGATGACCTCGGAGGGCTCCGACTGTCGCTGCAAGTGCATCATGCGGCCGCTGAGCAAGGACGCTTGCAGCCGAGTGCGCAGCGGGCAGGCCCGGGTGGAGGACTACTACACTGTGGAGACGGTGAGCTCGGGGACCGACTGCCGCTGCTCCTGCACGGCGCCACCCTCCTCGCTCAACCCCTGCGAGAACGAGTGGAAGATGGAGAAGCTCAAGAAGCAGGCACCCGAGCTCCTCAAGGTAGGCTTTCGGGGGGGGGGCGGGGAGGGGAGGGAGGGAGCACCTCCTGGGCGGGATTCTAGCAGGGGCTGGTGCCAGGCTGTCCTCCCAGTGGAAAGCCCACACTCTGGGGAGGTGCTGTTGTTATCCCATTTCACAGGTGGGGAAACAGAGGCTCCCTGAGGGGAAGCCACTCTTGCTCAAGACCATTCTCCAGTAAGTGGTGGAGGCGGCATTCTTTGGCTAGCTTACCCTGTGCTCTAGCGTATCTGCGAAATGCAGGCTTGTTTATGTTCAGGGAGCACCTACCACCAGCCAGGTAGGCACTAGTTTGGGGGATATTGGAGGGAACTAGACAAAGTCCATGCCTTCCGTAGAGTATGGGAGACAGAAAATAAGCAAACACGGATATAACATTTTATTGTCTAGTTCAGTGTTCTGTATTTTACCCAAACCTGTTCATCTGTCAGCACCTGAATACAGTTCTTTACATTTTAAATTTTGTAGCATTTTATTGTTTTTAATGTAATAAGAACATGTCCCATATTCAAGCACCACCTGCATGCCAGATGTTGTGCTAAGCTCTTTTGACATTCTCCTCTAAATTCTTTTTTTATTTTTATTTTCTTTTTTAAGATTTTATTTATTTATTTGACACAGAGAGAGAGAGAGATCACAAGCGGGGGTGGGCAGAGGGAGAGAGGGAAGCAGGCTCCCGGCCGAGCAGGGAGCCCGATGCGGGGCTCGATCCCAGGACCCCGGGATCATGACCTGAGCCGAAGGCAGTCGCTTAACGACTGAGCCACCCAGGCACCCAAGTCAGTAGGTTTTGGTTTTTTTTTAAAGATTTTATTTATTTATTTGATAGAGAGAGACACAGCGAGAGAGGGAACACAAGCAGGGGGAGTGGGAGAGGGAGAAGCAGGCTTCCCGCGGAGCAGGGAGCCCGATGCGGGGCTCGATCCCAGGACCCTGGGATCATGACCTGAGCCGAAGGCAGGCGCTTAACGACTGAGCCACCCAGGCGCCCCTTTTTCCTCTAAATTCTTAAACAATTCTGTGAAATATGGGATCACTGTTCTCATTTTATAGGCAAGAAAACTGAGGTTTGGAGAAGTTAGGTAACTGGCCCAAACTCTCACCCAATGGCATGTAGCCTCGGGTCTATACCATACTTTTATATGTATTTTATGCTTACCTTGCCCCCAGCCACCAACATAGGCAGATCAGAAAGAAGCACCACCTTTGGGGAGCACAGGCCCATGCCAGGGTCTACCCCCAGGACCCATGCTTGAATAGGCATGTGCAGCCTACATCACGGTCCCCACAGCGAGCCAGGCACCTTTGTGCCATTCGTAACACGCCCAACTCAGTGCCCAAACTTTTTGCAATGGGCACTGAGCATGCCTTCCCTACTCTGGAGGGAAACACTCTCTCTGTGTTTCAGGGCTGTTGCCTATACAAAATATGTCCTAGAACAAAGACAGTCAATGCCTCTGCTTGCAAGACATGCAGAAAAGCAAGAGACCCATGAAAAATTGTCTTCAACATTTGGCTAAAAATGTTTTCTTTATTTTTTTTTTTTAAGATTTTCTTTATTTATTTGAGAGAGAGAGAGCCCAAGTTGGGGGGGTGGGGGCAGAGGGAGAAGGAGAAGCAGACTTCCCACTGAGCAGGGAGCCCGATGCGGAGCTCGATCCCAGGACCCCGGGATCATGACCCGAGCCAAAAGCAGACACTTAACCAACTGAGCCACCCAGGCACCCCTAAGGGGTTTTTTTTTGAAATTTTTAAAGTAGGCTCCACACCCAACGTGGGGCTTGAACTCCCAACCCTGAGATCAGGAGTTGGATCCTCTACCAACTGAGCCAGCCAGGTGCCCTGAAATGTTTTTAAAGTAATCTCTGCACCCAGTGTGGGACTCGAACTCACAACTCCGAGATCAAGAGTTGCACACTCTGCTGATTGAGCCAGCCAGGCCCTCCAATTCTATGTTTAACATCCTGAGGAACAGCCAACTGAGCAGGGAGCCTGACAACACAGGGCCCAATCCCAGGACCCCCAGATCAAGACCTGAGCTGAAGACAGACACTTAACTGACTGAGCTACCCAGGCACCCCTAAAATTGTCTTCTTTAAATTTAACTTCGGCTTTAGTTTTATAACAACTAAATGCATACCAAAACTCTCAAAGTTGGCATAGGGCTGAATTTTAGGCCAAGTTGCCTCTTAACTTGTCAGTCCCTGGACCTCACTGTCTCTGTGGGGCCTCGCTAGGGCCCTGCAAACTCCAGGCACTGAGGTCATAGGTCAGTCTTCAGTTATAGGAACAAATCCAACTTCTGCTCAAAGTCCACCTCGCAATAACTAAATTGTAAGCATACTTTACAGGAGGATACACAAAAGCTTTTCATACTTTCTGGCTCATTTAATCCTTGCCACAATCCTTTGGCAAGGGAACTTAGGGTCCCAGCTTTACTTGTGGAGGAATCTGAGGCCCAGAGAAGGATGGTGACTTGCCTAAGATCTCACAGCAAGAAACTGGCAGCACTAAGATTTGCACTCAGGAATTCTCTGCTATGTTCCCTTACCCATGGAACAGGTCCCCAGGCAGCTCTCAGCCTGGAGCCCATTGTCCCTTAGGTCTTTTCAATGTATGGCAGCCATGGTGGTTTTCACTCAGCCTTATCGGACTGGAGTGGGGTAGTGGGGGGACTGACTCAGCAGGCGGTGGTGTAGGAGGAAGAGAAGGTCCTGCAGGGGTAGGTATCTGAGAGGGAACTCAGAGAACCCCAAGAGGAGAAGGGGGCAGAGGCAGTATGAGACAGGGCTCAGGCCCCTCCCATTACATGTGGCTCCTCCTCCCTCAGCAGGAGGCTCTTTCTGGGCAGCCCCCCAGGAGAGGCGATTAAGGGAAGCCCGTGGAGGAGGGGGAACAGAGCACACCCACGCTATACCCTCCCCTTGTCTCTCCCGCAGCCCTTTCCCTCCAGCTAAGAACTCCAGCTGTGATTTGGCCTTAGTTGCATGACTCTGAGTAGGAGGGAGAGGATTCTAGATCCCCTTTTTGGGGGAGGTCGGTGGCAGGTACATGCTTTTCATCTCTTTACTCCTTTTCCTTCTGGACACGAACTAGACATGGCCCCACCCTTGAGGAATCCCCGGTCACCTGGGGACACAGCTCCTGACTCCAACGGTTGGTCATTAGTGCTGGGCCAAGGGATGTCTCAGGGACTGTGGGAACCCAGAGGAGGAGGTCATATTAGAGCTGGGCTTTGAGGGATGGGTAGGAGTCCCTCAGGCAGAGAAGAAAGGAGGGCATTGTGGGTGAGAGCAAGTGGAGTGGATGTGGCCCAGGATAGCTCCCTGCCCTCTCTCTGCTCCAGCCCCACTAGCCACCTGTCAGTTCCTCTAACACAGGGCTTCTCAACCTATCTGTGGTGAAAGACTAATTTTTAAAAAACAAGAACCAGTACTTTGAGAAAATGCCATAAAAATGAATGATTAGAAAAATGAAACAAAAGCAGACATGCAAAATACAAGTCCAGGGTTTTACTGTTAGAGTCAACAGACAAAAATTTCTCTGTCGGGCGCCGGGGTGGCTCAATCGGTTAAACGTCTGCCTGCAGCTCAGGTCATGATCCCGGGGTCCTGGGATTGAGCCCCGCATCAGGCTCCCTGCTCAGTGGGGAGTCTGCTTCTCCTTCTCCCCCTTCCCCTTGCTTGTGCTCTCTCTCTCACTCTCTCAAATAAATAAATAAAAATCTTTTAAAAAATTTTCTCTGTCAAAGGGTTCTGAGAGTTTATAAAAGTCTACTCTCGCTTTTTGCAATTATTTTATCACAGATGAGTAACAAGTAGCTTGGACTGGTGCTGGTCTGCGGACCGCACTTTGAGTAGCATGGCCCAAACACACCATGCCTCTTCTCACCTCCAGCTCTTTGCACAAGCTTCCCTTGGCCTGGGATGCCCTTCTCCTGCCATCTTTGCCTAATTTGTGTTCTTCCTGCAGAGCTCAGCTCCAACAGACTCCTTCCTGGCATACTTTACTAATCCGCATCTGCTCCTCAACAAGGTCAGCGCTCTGTCATTAATGATCTGGGCACCTCTCTGTCACTCCGTTCTTTCGCAGCCTGTGAAGGACCATGAAGACTTGTGTCTATCTTACTCCTCACTGTCCTTAGTGCCTGGCCCAGAGAAAACATTTGCTGAGCTCAAAGAGGATGCAGGGGCAGACCATGGGGGGCTCGAATGCCAGGCTTAGGAGGTGCAAAGCCTCACATGAGCAGTGGGGAGCAATGAAAGTTATCTAGCAAGGGAGAGACCCAGGGTCAAACCTGTGCTTTGGAAAGCCAGTTTTGGTGGCCACGAAGGCAGCAGAGTGAAGCTGGGAGGATCCCCTTTAGCCCGCTGGAATAGTATCATTACTGCTGACATTCATGGACCCCTTGCTGTGTACCTGCTCTGTGCTGATGCCTGTCCACACACTACTATGGCCTCATTTCACAGAGAAGGAAGCCGAAGCACGTAAGAGTCTATGTGCATGGTTCTCACACTGTGCTCCCCAGAGCCCGAGGGGTACTGAGCAAGTCTTCAGAGTCTGAGCAAGGTTCCAGGGGAGCAGACAAGACTCAAGGTCCAATCCCTGCTTCCCTAAGACTTCTCCGCTCCCTCTTTCCATTTTAGAGATTAATGTCTACTCCAAGAAAGGCTCTCTGGCTTAAAACAGCTCGAACACCCCTGGGAGAGTGGGAGTCAAACTGTTTTGGAAATAGCTGACCAGGGCCAGACAGGAGCGCTGGCCTGCTCAAACCCTGAGAAATGCTGCAGGGCTCGGAGTGGGGCCATGCGAGAGGGTGGGCTGGAGGAACTGCCCTTCTCAAGAAGCCGGGGGAAGCTGATTTCCCAGCCAGCCTCTTGTGCCGCGGCTTCCCTGACCCTCACCGGCATCTTGGCCCTCGGGAGAGAAGATCATATCCTGATTACGCGCAGGGGAGAGCAGAAGGGGAGGGGCAGCTGCAAGGAGGAGCTGGGGGCTGGGCCAGGACGACCCAGCATCTGTCACTGACCTGTTTCTTGTGCAAGCTCCTCCCCTTCTCTTGGCCTCAGTTTCCCCATCTGAACACAAGAAGGAATGGTAAAGCATGTTAGGAAAGAGGTTTTGGTTTATACCAATCTGGGTTCTGCTGCCAGCCCCACCCTCTAACAACCGGGTGGCTTTGGACAAGTCACTTCACCTAAGCTGCACTTTCCCATTCTGTGTGTAAGATGAAGATAAAAGTTGTCTGGACCTTGTCAGGGCGCCCGGCTGGCTCAGTGGGTAAGAGCACGTGACTCTTGATCTTGGGATTGTGAGTTCGAGCCCCATGTTAGGCACAGAGATTACTTTAAAAAAATAGTTGTCCCAACCTTGTTTTTGTTTGGGTCCCCAGGTGCGGACTCTGAGGCAAGTGATTAGTGTTGCAGTGATTTATTTTGAAAATGTTCTCAAGAATCGAGCCCCGCGTCAGGCTCCCTGATCGGCAGGAAGCCTGCTTCTCCCTCTCCCACTCCTCCTGCTTGTGTTCCCTCTCTTGCTGTGTGTCTCTCTGTGAAATAAATAAATTTTTAAAAATTTTAAAAAAAAAGTTCCCAAGAGTAGCTGGTACCAAAATGAAAGAAGTGGAGGTGGGAGGAGAAGGAAGCCCAATAGGATGTGATCTCAGGCCAAGCATCAGCATCAGCCCCAGGGGACGTGGAGTGTGAATGACAGCTCAGTTGTCCCCACTGGGGCTAGGGAGCTGGGCCTTTGGATGCCTGCACCTGTCAGGCATTGCCGAAGGACTGCCCCAGGAGGACATACACTCCCAGGCAGTTTGGGGACATAGCATCTCTTGGAAGAGAGTCACAGATGCAGGCTGTTAAGAAGGAGCCACATGGGGCACCTGGGTGGCTCAGTCGGTTAAGCGTCTGCCTTCGGCTCAGGCCATGATCCTAGGGTCCTGGGATCGAGTCCCGCATCGGGCTCCCTGCTCAGCAGGGAGCTTGCTTCTCCCTCTGCCTGCCGCTCCCCCGGGTTGTGCGTGCTCTCTCTCTCTCTCCTGTCTCTCTCTGTCAAATGAATAGGCAAAATCTTTAAAAAAATAAATAAAAATAAAGGCACATGGAAACCAGGTATGGGCACAAGAAACAAGAAGGAGGGATCCCAGGCCATGCAGACTGATCTCCTTTAGTGTCCACTACACACCTCGTGGGGTTGTCATGAGGACAAAGTGAAACAGCTCATTACAGCCCTTTACACAGGGCCTGCCGTGTCGTTAAGTGCTCAGAAGATGGAATCTGTGGCTTTTCCCACGATGAGTACTAGCAAGCTGGGTCTAGTGGGTGCCGAGGGCCCACGCAGGCCATTGCAAGTGGTGGGGCTCCTTTTGCAGCCTTTGTGCCTGATCCTGTGCTCTGCCCTTGCCCTGACCCCTCACCCTTTCCCGGGCAGCTCCAGTCCATGGTGGATCTCCTGGAGGGCACCTTGTACAGCATGGACCTGATGAAAGTGCACGCCTATGTCCACAAGGTGGCCTCCCAGATGAACACGCTGGAAGAGGTAAGGGCAGAGCTCTGCCCAGGAGCCAGGCTGGGTCAACACTGGGAGCCAGGGGCTGTGCCGGAAGGGGCCTGGGCCATTCTGCCTTACGCTGGTGGCTGCTGAAAACTGGAGTCCAGCAGGGAGCTGGGAGAGGGAGATACAGGCCTCTGGGTCCGGACTTTGGAAAAGGGGTCTCACTGGGGCTCCTGGGCCTACAGAAGGCTGGAAGGCTGGGTGGAGAAACTGAGGCACCAGCTGATTGTCTGAAAGGGATGTGGAGGGGGCTGGCAGGAACCTGCAGTGGCCCTCAGTCCACCAAGACCAGGACTCACACATGGCACAACTCCAAGGCCACCGGTCACATAAAATGCCACATAAAAGTGCAAGGACTGGCCAAGCTCACTGGGGCAGGGCTTAAGGCAGCATGGCTGGCCCAGGCCCCACTTGCAGTGGAGGCTGAGGGGCCAAGCGTCTTCTGGTCAGTGCAGATGTGCTAGAGGGCTAGGCAGGTGGCCAGGACTGCCCCCTGAGGGCAGCGACAGAGTTGGGCAATCATGGGGGTCCAGGCTGCAGGTTCAAGGTTTGCTGGCATGCATCTCTGCTGGCACGGGCCGGGCCTCCGCCTGTTTCCTGCATCCGGCCCCTGCTAGGCTGCTGGGAGCCTGGGGACATGCAGCTGCCAGGAGCGGGGTGTGGGGACTTCCTTTCCCAGCTTCCTTTCCGGAGGGAGGGGGCACCTGGGCATCCTGTGCCCCAGGGTGGGAGATTAACCCCTTACTCTCCCCAAAGTTGGGGTCACAGTGGCTTTAATTATCCAAAAGTGTTTGGTGTGTATCTCCTAGGTGTAAGGCCCTTGCCAGCATGGGAGTAAGGTTACCAGTTTTTGGACTTCTACTGTGCACCAGTATTTTCTGTGCACCTAGTAGATGCCGGGCTCTCCTGTCGCTAGCTCTGCAGTTATCCCCCTGTGACCCTTCCTCCTGTAATCTTAGGAAATGTTAACTCACGTCATGTAACCAAGAGCCAGACGATCTGGAGAGTATGTCTGCAGTGGCTGGAACAAATCAGAAATGATTTCCGTAGCCACAAAGAAATGATTTTTTAATTATCTTCTGTTTTGCATTATCTGTGCTTTGCTTCTGTTCACTAAATGATAACTCTAAAAAAAAAAAAATAGGCTTATTGCTAACTCTGGGTGGAGGTGGAGAAAACAGCCTCACTCGGGAGGAACTGACTCCCTCTGCCCAAAGGAACAACATCACTCATTCACTTTTTAGTAATCATTGATCATTACGTGGTCTCTTGGCAGCACGCTTTATCCACGCGTGGCTGTGAGCGCCACCACGCAGCACCTGTCCCCTTGGGCCCCGCTCAGGAGCCTGGGCCATGAAGCCTGACGGCAGAAGCTGGGGTGTCCCCCTCCAGGGGGATGGGGGGTGGCTGTCAGAGGAGGCTAGAAAGACCTTGGAGTCCTGCCCCCACAGAACGTCAAGCTGAACCTGAGCCGGGAGAACGAGGTAGTGAAGGAGAGCATGCGCCACCTGAGCGAGCAGCTGAAGCGCTATGAGAATCACTCGGCCATCATGATGGGCATCAAGAAGGAGCTCTCCAGCCTGGGCCTCCAGCTGCTGCAGAAGGACGCAGCCCCGGCCTCGGCCGCTGCCCCAGCACCCGGCCCTGCCAGCAAGGCTCAGGTGAGGCCGTGGCCCTGGCGATGGGGCCCGAAGGTGGGTGGGCTTGGGAACACAGTCTGCCAGGACCTCAGTCCCGAGGGCCAGCTGGGTGGGGGTTTGGGGTCCTAGGACAGGGCTGAGGGCTAGCACAGCTGGAGAGTCCCTGACAGGGTGGGGGGCAGGGGCCTGCAGTGCAGCGAGCACCGTTGACAGAGGTAAGCTGGGAGCGGATGTGGGGATCCAGCTGAGGGCTCTGTTTGCTGAGGAAGGCATCTGGCAGTGTTCTCATTCCCATCCCCAAACTAGCAGAGACAAAACTGTAGAGATGACCCTCCCTGCCTGGCCCTGGGAAACCAGGTTGGCTGCAGCGAAACCACTTTGAGCCTCCCCTAGTGTGGTTGGGCCCCTGGCCGGGTCCTGCCTGCTCAGGGGCAGGTGGGCAATGCCTTGGGGACCCTGCAGACTAACACCACTTCATCAACCCAATCTGGGGTGGAGAATTCCTGCAGCATAACACCCAGACATTCCGTGTTCAAGCTCAGCACAGAGTGAGCAGGGACACCAGGCAGAGCCACCCAAGATCTATAATACACCTTTATGCACATTTGTAAAAGGTCCTCCTCTCAACAAATTGCCTAAAAGGCTGTCCCTCTGGGCAAATGCAGAGAAGCCCCCCATAGGTGGGCAAATTGGACAGAGGCTCCTTCCTATGATAGATACACCCTAGGGGGTGTGGCTTGGCAAATGGGAGTACAGACTGGATTTCAATGTCATTTGTGCCCCTTAGGCCAGTCACCCTCAGGCAGGACACAGCCGCTCCATTCCCCACAGCAGCCTTGCGGTTTAGAGTGGGGGATCCTGACAGCCTCTAAATCTGATTTCTAAAGTCTAAATCTGACTTGCTCACAGACATGATCTCAGTTAATCCCACAGCCACCTGCAAGGGAGGGACAATCATTGCGCGCTGGGCAGATGAGGAAGCCTAGAGTGAGGCCCCCCGTGGGGAGAGGGTGGCCGTGCCGGGACTGGAACCTGCATCTGCGTGACTGACAAGCCCGGGCTCTTCCTCTCCCACCTCCTGGCCCCCCGTGCTGACGTTGTGCTGACATTGTGCCCATCTGTGTTTGTGGCCGGGACCGCCTCGTTGCTGATAAAGCGTGGAGGAAGCCTGGTGCCTGTGGCCCAGGGCAGGCTTCCTGCTCGTTCCCGTGTCAAGTCCACAGGCGCAAATGAATGCTGTTTGGGCCACAGCACGGCAGGTCTAGAGACTGCACTTGCTGTATCTCCTGGAGATTCTGCTTGACAGTGGGTGATGTCACGGGGCCTTTGTTCTTGTGCCAAGTGAGCAGCAGAGGCCTTTAAGAGGAAGTGAGAATGAAATCTACAGGACGTTAGAAACTGCATGCTTGGGGGCGCCTGGGTGGTTCAGTCGTTAAGCGTCTGCCTTCGGCTCAGGTCATGATCCCAGGGTCCTGGGATCGAGCCCCGCATTGGGCTCCCTGCTCGGCGGGAAGCCTGCTTCTCCCTCTCCCACTCCCCCTGCTTGTGTTCCCTCTCTCGCTGTGTCTCTCTCTATCAAATAAATAAAATCTTTAAAAAAAAAAGAAAGAAAGAAAGAAAGAAACTGCATGCGCTAAGGACAATGGCCTCGGTGGCCAACCGTCCAAGTTGGCCTGAGACTGAAGGGTTTCCCGGGACGCAGGACTTTCAGTGCGGAAACTGGGGAAGTTCCAGGCACACTGAGATGGATTGATCACCCTGCCTTGGAGCCTGAGAACCTCGCCCCTGCCCACAAAAAAAGACCCATGAGCGAGAGAGAGACAGGGATGGGAAGCTGACCTCCTGAGCAGCTACCTCCTTAGGGAATTAACCATTATAGTCTACCCCCGGGGGTGAGTATGCAGGGGTTTGGAAATGGAACAGGAACTTAACCTATCAGGTTGGGCTTCAAGCCTGCAGGGGAGCTGGAGAGCTGAGTGGGGAAACTGAGGCACGGCCCAGTCATGGATGTAGCCACTATGGGAGGAAAGCTGTGAGTTCACGAGCACCTGAGACCTAGGGCCTAGAGCAACGTGACCACTTCCAGCCCCCCCGCGAAGCTGAGCCTCCATGACCTCCCGCAACACCCCTTCCCCCGCCCCTAAGTCTGAGATTTCTCTTCTCTCTCAGGACACAGCTGGAGGGAAAGGCAAAGACAACAACAAATACGTCAACGTTCAGAAGACCTTTGCAGACAGGGGCCTCACAAAACCTCCTAAGGAGAAGCTGCTGAAGGTGGAGAAGCTGAGGAAGGAGGGCGGCAAGAGCAGATTGCCCCAACCCACAGCCAAGCCCCGGACCCTGACCCAGCAGCAGGCCATAATCCGAGGCATCACCTACTACAAGGCGGGCGGGAAGGAGGTGACTGAGGCCGTGGCCGGTGAGTTGGCGGAGGACTGGACCCCGGCGGAGTGGGGGCTTGCTGCTGGATGGCTGCATCCCAAGCAAGGATCACCTGCGGGGATCCAGTGTCTTCTCTACAGTCAAACTGCCCCAGATTTCAGCTCTACTGGTTACCTGTTGGTGCCCTTGGCTCATCCACACAATGAGATAGTACCCCTCGTGGGGTTGTTGGGGATGAAATGATTGAATCAACACAAAGGGCCACTCGGTTCCTCTCCAGTATTTTCAGCTATCTCTGCCCTTATTGGACTTTTCCTTCTTCATTCAAAGATTTGCTGAAGGTCCACTATGTACGTGCCATATCTCCCAGAGACTCTGCCTAACATAGACTTCACAATCCAGTGGGAAAAAACATACCCATGACCAGGCAGCGGCCACAGGTGGGGTGGGAATCCCCAGGGGCTGGAGCCAGGCCAGGGTTCTGGGAAGTGTTCTGGGGCCTTCAGAGCACCTCTTATTTCCAGAGTAGCCTTGCAATGGATGGCCTCCCACTTCTTATTTTCCCAAAGGAGAGCCCACAGAGTCCTATATTTTTCCTGCAATCCATGGGGGATCACACGGAAGGGCAGCCAAGTAATTAACCAAAAAAAAAAAAAAAACCCACAAGAGACAAAAGTCCCTGGAGTACCCAAAGTTCTAGGCCGTCCCCACTGGTGTGGCTCCTGATTCTTCCTCTGAGGCCCTCCCCAGACGCCTGCTCTCCTCTCATGCCCCAGAGAGGTGTCCCAAGCCTGCTCCCCCACCCTGGATCCTGCTGACCACCTCCTTCAGTGAGGCCCTCTGCCCACCCCATGTCCAAGGGGCCAGGAGGTGGAATTCAAGAGCCCCCCCCTAAATTCTTGGCCTCTCAAGGCTCAGGGGCCTCTTCCCAGACCCCCCGGGGGTAGTTGCTGGCTGTGAGGCCTGCTAGCTCCTCCTGGCCACAGTACAGCACCTCTGACCCCTGGCTGGGCACTGCCCAAGGACAGCTGCAAGCAGCTGGCTCTGCCAGCGAGGCCCGTGGGAACAAGGCCCTGGCCCTGGCAGGCTGCCAAGGCCAGCCCCCCACCCCCGCCAAAGGGTGTGCCCCATTCCCAAGAGACCCCAGGGGCTGCCCTGCAACAGGGCCTGGCTAAACCCTATGCAAAGAGGAAGCCTGGCAGGGAGAGAAAATGAGAGAAGTCAGGTAATTGTCCTGGCATCAAGGGGCCTCAGCTCCTGGGGGCCACACCATCCCCTTTCCTTTGTCCCTGGCATCACAGTTTTCTGTGGGTTCTCACAGACCCTGTTGGACTTGATCCAGATGAGGAAACAAGCTCAGAGAGGTGAAGAGACTGGCTCCAGGTTTCGCAGCAAGTTGGTGGGACAGGAACCCAGCTCAGTGGGCTACAGAGCCAGCCTGAGACCCCACCCCAGCTCTGTCCCCTGCTGTGTGGCATTGAATCTTCCCGTTTTTCCTACCCAGACCCCATCCAGCCCAGCCCAGACAAGTGTGTGGGTCAGGGATGACCCAGAGATGGCCCCAGACAGGTCCCACGGGAGCTGAAAAAGTCATCCCATCAGCAAAGGCTTTGCCAGCGAGATGGGGGCGGGGGGGGGGGCCTGCCCAGAAAGCTTCGAGATCAGAGATAGGAGCTGAGTGAGGGGGCAGAGAGACAGAGACCTGGGGTCCAGAGGTGACGGGAGGCTGGCTGCCCCTGCCCCTCCCTGCTTAAAGTGGCAAATGCTGGGTGAGAGGAGCTGTCGGCTGGGTTCCAGAGGAGAGGACCAGCAGAAAAAAGTCTATAAAATGGGAGCGAGGATGTCTCCCTCCTAGAGTTGAATCTGGGACGGGAAAGAATTGGGACAAAGTATTTGACACTTAGGAGGGAAGGGGTCTCATGTTCAGCACCTCATGCATGCCAGGACCTGGGCAAATGATGTGTATACATTTTCCTCTAATCAACACAACAGCCTAACCTGGTGGACCTTATGACTCCGTTTCATAGAAGGGGAGGCTGAGGCCCACCAAGGCAGGGGACTTGGCTGAGGTCACTCAGCTGGGGGGCTTGCAGCCGGTCTGCTGACCACAAAGCCTCCCCACCACCCACTTGTGGAGGTCTTTCACTCCTCAGGGCCTCCCCACTTCTCTCCGCCATGGCCCCAGAGCTGGGAGCCAGGTGGGCCTGGGGAGGGACGTGAGCACAGGGTCCTCTCTCCACAGACAACGCCCTCAAGAGCACTTCCTGGCTAGAACAGCGGCCGCCCAGGGTGGAGGGCAGGTCACCGGAGCCCAACTCAGCGGAACATGACAAGGCTGGGCCCAGGGCCTCAGAGGGAGCGGACCTGGCCTCTGGCACTCTCAGTTCCGACCCTGTCACCACCCCCACCCTGACTCCCACCGCCCGGCCCCAGCCCACCGAGCCACCTTCACATCCAGATGTCCCAAGCCAAGGTGAGTAAGCCTCACAGGGGTCAGCAGGGTACAGCCCATGGGCCAGATCCAGCCTGCAGCCTGGTTCTCTATGGCCCTTGAGCTAAGAACAGTTTTTACATTTTTAAAGGGTTGTGAAAAAAAGAATACGGGACAGACGTATGTGGTCTGGAAAGCCTAAAATCTTTACTGTCTGATCCTCTGTAGAAAGCTTGAGGACACTGATAGTCAAACAGGTAGTATTTTCAACAAATCCTTCCTAACATGTCACCTAGAATTCCATCATCAAATCCAGCAACTGTTCCCACTTCTTTACTTTTTTCTGTCCACATTTGTACGTTTGGCTTGTGTCTTTTGGTAGAAATCTTTCCCATTAAATCATCGAGCCCATCTTTCTGGAGGGTATCTTGGCTACCTGTGACGACAAGGTCTTGTTAAATCCGTTCCCCACTTCGGTCCTGGTGTGTTCCACTTCCAGGAATCTTTCCTCAAGGGTCCATCAGCAATGTAGACAGCAGCTGCAGCTTACCTGCCCCTCACCCCCAGCCCATTTCCAACATCAGAAAACTGGAAATAATCTGAAGATCTCACACCGAGGGGACTGGGGCACAGCTGTCTGGTGGCTTGGTAGAGCCTTGAAATCACATCATTAAAAGCCATTTAATGATGTGAGAAATTGCTCAGTGGAGGGAAAAAACAGGATACATAAAATTGTATATTCAGAAGAACCACGGTTTTTAAAAGTATGTCTGCATGACTGTATATACAAAGAAAAAAAATGGAAGGAAATACAACATATTTAAATTTTTCTTTTGATATTGACATTTTTCATTGTTTTTATTTTCCTCATTCTCCTTTGCTGAATGTTCTGTTTTCTACATTGATCAGACATTGCTCTGATCATAAGGGGAAAAAAGGCTGCAAATATGGGGTGCCTGGGTGGCTCGGTCGGTTAAGTGTCTGCCTTCGGCTCAGGTCGTGGTCCTGGGGTCCTGGGATCGAGCCCCACATCGGGCTCCCTGCTCAGCGGGGAGTCTGCTTCTCCCGCTGCCTCTGCCCTCCTCC